TGCTTTTTTCTTTCTTTCTTTCTTTCTTTCTTTCTTTTATTTATAGCTCTCTTCATTCTCTCGTTCTTTCGTTCTTTCTTTCCTTTTCTTTCTTTTTATAGCTTTTTCTTTCTTTATTTCAACCTTTTTATGACCCTCTTCATTCCCCCTTTCTTTGTTTTTTTCTTTCTTTCTTACTTTCTCTCTGTGTCTTTCTTTTTTTTAGGTCTTTTCTTTCTTTCTTTTATAGCGCTCTTCTTTCTCCCTTTCTTTCTTTCGTTCTTTCTTTCTTTTTCTTTCTTTTTGTAGCTTTTTCTTTCTTTATTTCTACCTTTCTATGACTCTCTTCATTCTGCCTTTCTTTCCTTCTTTTTCTTTCTTTCTTACTTTCTCTCTGTGTCTTTTTATAGTTCTTTTCTTTCTTTCTTTCTTTTTATAGCTCTCTTCATTCTCCCTTTCTTTCTCCCTTTATTTCTCCTTTTCTTTCTTTCTTTCTCTTTTTATAGATCTCTTCTTACATTTTATATCTCTCTTTATTATCTCTTTCTTTCTTTCTTTCTTTCTATAGCGCTTTCTATTTTTCTTTTCATAGCTTTTTCTTTCTTTCTTTTTATAGATATCTCCATTCTCTTTTTTTTTCTTTCTTTCTTTCTTTCTTTCTTTCTTTCTTTCTTTCTTTCTTTCTTTCTTTTATAGTATCTTTTCGTTCTTTCTTTTTATAGCTCTCTCGATTCTTTTTTCTTTCTTTCTTTCTTTCTTTCTTTTCTGTTCTTTCTTTCTTTCTTTTCTTTCTTTTTTTTTGGAGGAGTTATGAAAAGAAAGAAAAAAGAATCTTCTTTCTTTCTTTTCATAGCTCCCTCCATTCTCTTTTTCTTTCTTTTTTTTTCTTTCTTTCTTTCTTTCTTTCTTTCTTTCTTTCTTTCTTTCTTTCTTTCTTATTCTTTCGTTTTTTTCTTTCTCCCTGCTTCTTAATTTGCTGTGTAAGCAAAATTCCAAAGAAAACTCAAAATAAAAAGGGAAAATTATTTAATTTTATTCTTACTGAACCAAGAATAAAGAACAAAAAAAAAAAAAAAAAAAAAAAAAAAAAACGAAATAACGGAGAATAAACTTTTGGCTTAATAAAAGAAACAGGAGAAGAAGAGATGAAGAACTGGTTCCATCATGAATTTGGCCGATTTTCTTGAAAAAAAAAATCTTTGTCTTTCTTTTCTTTTTGTTTTCTTCTCCTTTTTAGTTCCATTTCATAAAAATTATGACATCTTTGTTCAAATTTTCACAGACACAAATAAAGACGCCATCTGTCGCCTTCATAAATATGTCAGGTGATTCTCACGTGGTGATTACTCATATAATAATCATAGCATCGTCTGACACAAGGTCTCAGTGGACGAGCACTCAGTAGCTATAAATACGCACTCGTTTGTCACATTGATAACCAAATCAAGATAAAACCAGTTCAAGAAAATCTCTCTGGTTATCCAAATTCTTTATTCAATCAAATTGCCGCTACACAATCTTACTCTATATCCATAAACTGGATATGTTTGTAAAATCAACAATAAATTGAATCAATAGCTTCTTCTACTGCAAGGAAAGTTGGCTCTCCGTGTTGTGCCAGAAAATTTTCTCGTCTGAGTCCATCCTTCAAATTTATAAATCAATCATCCGTCCTTGCATGGAATATTGCTGTCATATATGGTCTGGTGCTCCTGATGCACGTCTCGAGGTCCTTGACAAAATCCAAAGACGAATATGCAAGTTGATAGGTCCTGATCTGGCATCTAGTCTACAATCGCTATCCCACAGACGTGCCGTGGCCTCCCTCTGTCTATTCTACAAAAGTTTTCACGGCAACTGATTCGACGAGCTACTTTCGCTGGTTCCCGGACGACATGAATTTAAACGAGCTACCAGGCTGGCATTTTGGTCCCACCCTTTCATTGTCAAAACGGTTAAATGTAACCATCTCTTCTTCTTCTCAAACAGCTTCTTCTCTCGCACTTCCTGACTGTGGAACTCCCTTCCCCTTACTTGCTTCCCCGATGACTCTAAACGTCACATATTCAAGTGTAATGTCAATCGACATTTGAAACCCTGAGTATGTTCCCCGTCTTTCTCTGTATCTTTTCCTCAAACACGCCTCTTTACTCTTGTTCTCAATCCTCTGTAACCCCTTGCGTGCTAGTGGCACTCCCGCCGTGTTTGGGGGCGAATTGGCTTAAAAAATATGTATTTTCCCTATCTATAGCAAAACTCCTTATCTGAATTCTGATGAACAGAGGGCACAGATCGGAGAAGAATAATGCGGGTTTGTTAAATATCCCAGAACAAGGGACACGATATTTATCTCATAATTTTATCAGAAAGAGAAGAAGGGCGTGTACCTGTGTTTTTTTTTTTATATATATAGATAACACAAAGGTGTTTGATAAACTACATCACAAAATTGGAACTGTTCTGAAACCTTGACATATTTGGAAAGGATATTAAAATACTCAAGAACCTATCATCATTATCATCATTCTTCGACCTCCCTATGGTTGGTCGGAAGTCTATTGACAATCCCTTTCCTAACAAGATTCATTTATTGGGTGTCACGTCATGGACTTTTCATTTTTTTTTTTTCAATTTCCGCCATAGATTTTCAATCAGCTTAAGATGAAAACCGCTGGCCATTTCATAGAGTTGATATGCTTTTCCTGAAGAAAAGATTTTTATAAATTATTCCACCCTAATCAAGGCAATAAAGCGACTAGGACGCAATGGCTTACTGAGTGTTAGAGAATATGAGAAAAAAAAACTTCTAATGAGAAGAGAGAATAAAAGATCAAGAATTAAGAAGACGGAAGATGACGATTGACATTGCATTTAAGTTTTTGAAGATCAAAATTGACTGGGAAGCAAGAAGCCCGAAGAGAGTTCCACAAGCGAGAAGTGCTATAGAAGAAACTATCAGCATAGGACTTACGGTTACATCTAAATATTTCAACTATAAAATGATGGTACCCTGTCAACCAATTCATAAATTTTAGGTACCATAAAGGAGAATTCATCAGAACTGTTACCATGAAACTATTTACAGAAACGAAACAGGGAATCTACGTTACGCAGATGGGAAAGGAACTGAAGCTGAGATGCCAGGTCAGGATCAACAACATTGCAGATACTTCTTTGTATTTTATCAAGAATCTCTAAATCTATGATAGGATCACCAGACTAGATATGGCAGCAATATTCAGAGTAAAGACGAATAGTATAAAGGTTTTAACAGGGGATGAAAATTATGACACCGAAATCGAAGTGCATTGTAACAGAGAAAATGCTTTCCAAAAGCTAATCAAGTTATGAAGAAACAGGAAAAATTCGGTAGAAACGGAGAAAAATATGTTGAACTGCTATGTAAAGTTGGTTCTCCAATATGGCAATGAATATTAGATAATCTCACAGATGAAGCAGAGAACTGAAGCAAGAGAAATATGGTTCTACAGAATTCTGGGAATACCATGGGTTGAACATGTGAGCAACGAGGAAGTTTTAAGGATAATGGAAACAAATAGGTCACTTTGAATAAGAAGTAGTTATTTATTTTTTTATTTTTTAATCAATTCACCCCAAACAAGGCGAGAGTGACACTAATACGCAGGGGGTTACAGTGAGTGAAAGTGAGAGAAAAGATTGGCTATATGGGGGGGATTGAAGAAAGGATAAAAAAATGAGTGTTATGAAAAAGAAAGAAAAGATATAAAAATGTAAAAAAAAAAAAAGAAAGTAAGAAAGATAGAAACAAACAAAGAAACAACTAAAAAATTGTGGCACCCAAATAATAAATCCTGGTAGGACATCTAATTCTCTCAGAAAAGTCTTCAAGAAAATGGCGACTGCCGTTGCATCTAAATTTTTGAAAATTTTAGGGGAAGCAAGTAAGAGGAAGTGAATTCCTCTGTCGGGAAGTGCGAGAAAAGAAAATGTCTGAGTAGAAGTGGCAGTTACAGTTAGCTATTTCAACAGTAAAAGGGCGGGACCTAGATGCCAATCTAGTATCACACTTAAATTCATGTAGTCGGTGCCCCAGGGAAAAAAGGAGGGTATGGATAATTTAACATCTATTGGATATACTAAATGAAAATATAAAGAGTTTGGTTGGCAGAAGGGCTAGGCGGGTATAGCAAAAAGATAGAATTTATTAAGCATAGAGACAGAACGTAGGAGAGCCATGATTGCCCACATCTTGAAGGGATACTATTAATACTACTACTTGAGGTACGGTGGAGTAATGGATAGCGGCTTGGATTGAGGAATCGGAGAGCCGAGTTCGAATTCCAGTCGAATCCATTACATTCACTTACGTGCTAATACCCTTGGGAAAGGTGTGAATCCTCTTCTTCTCCCTCCACCTATGGGTAAATAGCAGGATAGACTGGGTTCTATAGCTTTGGATGACATCTGGACAACTCTGAATTCAAACCTGGAGTGGAGCCCCTGAGGCGGATGGACGGCACTTTGTGCTACCTTCCGGCAACTCCTGCAGCCACGCTGGTACCAAACTGTATTGGTTTATCCTCTCCTTTGGACTAGCAAGGCCGAGAGTGGGGAACTGGACGTCTGGGCAGCCCTAGTTCTCTGTATATCCCGACAGGCTCGTAGCGCATGGCGCAACTCCATCGTCTCTCGAGACGGACAGATGCCGACTACTACTACTACTACTACTATAACAAGAAGAGGAAGAAGAAGAAGATGATGATCATGATCATAGTTTTGAAAGCTTTAGGTTGGAAAAGCTTGTCTCGATATATGAGGTCCCAGAATAATACGATATTTCTGACTCAAGAAGAAGGTCTGTTGGCTTTATTTTTTTAGTAAACGAGACGTATAGACTCAGGGTACCATGCCTGTAGCACATTTCCTGGATTACATACCCCTTGATCAAGGGTGCAGGAGATAAACTTTTTCTGTGTTTTGGTGTTATCCGCTCGATAGTCAAGGGTCGAATCCATAGAGTATTTTCGAAGGAATTTATCCACTTGAGGCTATTTATTGCCATTTTATGAACGGAGCCTAGACCGTGTATTAGTCGGGTCCTCTCGGTAACATGATGAAGAGTACTATTACGGCTGTACATCCTGACAGTTCAATCCAGGTTGTTGATCAATCCCGCTTCTACGGGTGTGACCGTCTCACTACGTAATCTTCTCCCGAACACACTGACTTGAGCTCTAAAAATGAAACCCAACCTCGCAAAAACAAAAGTAGACCGCAGGTTTACCATCTCCTACGCCAATGTGAGGGGTCTGTGTTCCAATTTTCTACAGGTGGAAATCCATGATCTCGATACCAATTCTCTTATACCCGTCTTGAAATGGTATCGATCTAGCTAACACTGCAGGAAATCATGATCCCGATATACTCGACTCTAATATTTAAAAAACATGATAATGAAAATTGCGACGATCATGAACTTCGCGCCTATATTAAGGATGGGTTCCCATGTAGCAGAAAACAAAACAAAAACACAAAACGAGGAACACTGACCTCTATTTATATGTGTCAATGTTCACCACACGAGGTTAGCCCTTTCGAGCAAAACCAATGAAGAAGGAAGACACTGCCGAGGCTTCTCCGTCGCCTATGAACCGACACTGATCATTGATGACCCCACCCGTCTCCCTGATGCAACAGGACATAGACGAACTTCCTCGACCTCTTCCTCATATCCTACTCTGAAAATTTCTGCGCTGGTTTTAGAAAGCCACCGGGCATTTCAGATCATTCACTAGTCAATGTTAAAGCTGATGCCAGAGCAAAGGCATCCCTTGGTGTGCTATTCCATATAACGATTTTTCGGTACACGAAAGCCGACCGGGACAGCTTAAGGTCTTACACAGCGGAAGCTCCTCTCCCAGATGGGATTGATGAGTCTTATACTTGAGAAAAATTCCAACAAAACCGGACAGACAGCCGTGGTTCACCGC